TTTAATAACGTGCATATAGAGAATAATAAGAAAAAGTGCATTTATAGAGGTTAAGTATATATTTGGGCTGGCACTTGAGCGTGCATTTAGAGAGGGTGTGCACTTATAGAGAGTGCACTTAGAGAGGTCTGACTGTATTATATATAAGGTTATTATATGGTAATTATATGGTATAATAACCTGGTATTTATACCAAAATTTATTATACCGTATAATTTCCAACCCTACTTGGGAACTACCAAGCCGATTTGGATGATTTAACTACCATTGGGATCCTAAAAACCTTCTCTACAAGTTTTTCTAAGGCTGGAAGAGACCTTTACTTAGTAGAACTTTCTTTCTTTAATTTTCAAAAGATTGCTTTAGTCAATCATATTATTACTTTAAGTAAGTGACTTAAAGAATATAGAGAAGAATTGAACAACTTTAGCTTAAGATCCTTTTAAAACCACTTAATATATAACTTTATAATTTTTGTTAAAAAAGCATCAAATACTAAAGAATATAAGTCCTACATTTAAAATTAGATTTTATATTTATTTTTTTGAGTAAATTAAAGAAATGTATTTTTTTTGCCAAATTTTATATATAAATTTAGGTAAGTCAACTCATTTGATTTATATTAAACAACAACCAAGGGGACATGTCTTGTATCTGCTAATAGCTAAAGTTGTCAAAAATAAATAAATAAATAAATAAAATTTTAATTTTTTTACACAGAAGATTCAAATGAAAAAGAACGCGTGCATGCTGGATCTTTGGATTATCATATAAGTAAAATTTTCTATTAAAAATAGATACTTTATTATTATTTTCTGAGGCGATCCTAAGTTTGTAATACATATTTAATGCAAGAAACACATGTTAAAAATACATAAAATTAAAATATAATTAACTTATTTCATGAGTCACACCATTGTAATCTTCATAAAGTTTTTGCTGAAACCTCATAGCGAAAGTGTTACCGTCGATATTATTTTCGTTGTTTTGCATGATATTATCCGAATAGCTATGGAATGTGTAAAATAAATGGCGGTTTATTTCAATTATCTAACGTCAGGCTGTCGCAATTTATTGTTTATAGTCAAGAATAAAATTCTGGAATTTTAAAATTTAATGAGCTATAACCATGAGTATTTATATAAAAGGTCTACAGAATTATGTATAGCCCCAAAAGATATCAACCTTTTCACGTAGATAATAAATTTGATTGTTATGGGGCGAATGCAGAGACGTTTTTTGGCACTTTCAAGCAAACGCCTGGTTATACGTAGTTAATAATTTTACTAATTCAAACAATCATGATTAAAGGTGCAGATAACTTGTCGTAACTATCTCTGTACTATGTTAATAACTATAATGTGATACGGTATCTTAGCCGTAATTTTATTATGTTGATAAGTTACGGAATTTTTTCAACTCTAATCATGATTATCGTTATAAATAGATATGATTAATTGAATTAATCATGAGTATACTGTGTAACTCTATTACGTAAGATAAAAAGACAAAAAAAAAATAAAAATGCAAATAATTAAGAAAAACTTGGAATCGCCTACTTATTAAATTTACAAATTACTCAAAAACAGTCGTGATATTGAATGATTAGGAAACTATACACAAAAAGGCATTCAGGTATCATATAACTAAGGGTGCGACATTTCCCAGATTAAGGGTAGCTACCTTCTCACGCCCGTATAAATTGGATTGCTGTCTGTTATGGATATGCCGGATGTTATTTCATTTAATGTAATGTACGTAGAATTTACACATAACTGCACATCATATTCGGATAGGTACATATCTGTTATTCTTTTTAGTTTCTTTTTTTTAACCTGTCCTCGTTCAGACGTACAGATGTGACACAAGCTATTCAAGATAAACACCAAATCTGGACACAATGAAAACTATCATTATCGTTATTGGATTTTTATTAATATGGATAATGATAAAGCGTAAATTTTCTTGATTGCAGAGATTATGGACATTTTTCTTTGTTAAATGGTGGGAAAAATTATCCCACAAATACCTGTTTGCATTCCACAGTGATGCATGTTGATGCCGTGACTCGAGTAAGGAACATAATACGGATCTTGTTCCCGTGCTTCTGATGTCGATTTCATATATTAAAAAAGTCAAGTAATGCTAAAAAGAAACCAAATGAAAATTAGTATAAAGAAATATGAAGTTCATTGATTTTCTCTTGAAATTCATGTCAGAATAAATTAGATGAAATGTAATAAAAGTTTTTGTGAAAAAATTACAAAAGTACAGAGAAATAAGTTAAAAGATCATCAAATTCGAGTTTAAATAATACGAATAGTATCCTTTCTTACCCTAAAAAAGTCCATTTCTTGTCTTAATTGTCTCACCAAATCATGCGCCTTGCGTAAAACCGTCCATTTTTTACTATTAACAATGTTTATCTATTTCTAACCTATTGATACCAGGCATTTAAATTTTCATAAGATTACTTGTATAACTTGTATACGGCTTAAAGATACGTACGTATGCACGTAATAAGAACCCACTAATATTTTATTATGAAAGACGGAAACGCAAAAATTCGTTTCGCCCCAACGAAAATTGCCAAGAAATCGGGAGAAAAATCGTCGCTATGCCACTACAATCTTGTGAAAGTAATGAGAGAATAATCTCCTCTGTGTGAATTATCAGACAACCCAATAGTGCTAGACCGTAAAAGGAATTATGAAATAGTTTCATCTTTAATCACGATTTGTAACAAATTAGTTGTACAACTAATTTGGTTAAGCTTGCAGTCGTTTCAAACTGCCATTTTTATTCTCACGAAAAAGCGAGAAATTATGATGCGTAGTGGTGTGAGCGCAATGTCGTAATTATTTCGACAGATTACGGCATTAGGGCGTTCAAATTTAATTTTTCGGTTAAGCATCTCCCCTCTCACTAACTGTCCTCCAAAATCGCATGATTTATATCAACCAATGAGATTTACCTACATTCTATACGCAACAAAATTTGTTAGTTTGAAATACTCCCGCTCATTTAAGTCAAGAAATTTATGTTAACTAGCTAATTAACCCAACTAAATCTCTAGGCTAAATTTTAGCTGGAAGTTATTTCGTCATAATAGATTTGCTACTTTAAAAATAATTTGTTCGTTTCAACCCTCCCTCCCGAGAGTCATATAAAGTAATGTTAACCGAAGATTTATCTGCAAGTGGTACATTCACACTCTAATGATGGGGAAATCAACCAATTGAAAACCTAAGGGGGAAATCGAGTAATCATTGGTGCATAAGCAATTTACTTTTTTTGATGCTTGTAAATTCTGTTATAAATGAAGATATATTTTTGATTTTAATAAATCAGATTCAACTGCGTTACGATCCTGTACATTATTGATCCGCGCATTTGTAAATTATCTCTTTGTGCATGTAATCTACTTGATTCGTTTTACCTTGCTAAATCGTTTACGCCTCGTCTTAAAGGGGATCCGAGTTTACATTAACTAATCAAATATCAAATCAAAAACATCCAAATAAAATTTAATAGTTTTGATAAAACATCGTTTTTATGATATTTATGCGGCGTAACTTCATTTGAATAAACAATAATTGCTAACGTGTTCTCGCTTAGAATTAGTTCTATTATCAGTGGATCTATAAAATAACAAGAATGTTCTAGTTTATAAATCTAGTTGAACAATTGACCCATTTATTCAACACTAATTATAATGGTCTAATAAGTAACTTCGCAACTTACAGCAATTTTTTTATTGTAATTTACTTTATAATTTTACATTTACGTATGTTGGTAAGCAATATACATAATATACATATATGTAAGGTTTTCTGTGAATAAAAATAGATGCCATTATTACTATTTGTCAGAATTTTTTTTAATGCAAAAAAAAAAAAAACAATCACATTGACGATAAAAAAAGGTTAAAATTGAACTATATCAACTTATTCATGATTTATATCATTATAATCATCATAAAATTTCTGCCTTAAATGTTTTCATTGTCTTGTATGATATTATTTGCAGGTATAGAAAAAGAGAAATAAAATGACGTTTATATTTTAAATTAATAAGTTATGAACTATGTGCACTTATAAAAAAAGTTCTAGAGAACTACAGTAATACGTATAGCTGCTTCAAAAAGATATCTAAACCTTTTTTACATAGCGATAGGTAATCGAATTTTATTATTTATGGGGTGAATGCAATTGATAGTAATACGTTTTTGAACGCTTTCAAACTAATGAACTCATAATGCCTGGTCATAATTAATAATTTCAATAATTAAAAACAATTATACTGTATTACATTACGGCACGTTTGTAAAATACCCCAAAATTTTCAAAATTCTCCACCGATTGTGAGTCATTTATGATAACTGACTTCACATGTATTGTAATTTAATTTTATATGTTTTACTATTTCGCTATCGCTTTATACTACCTGCACTATATAATCAGACTTGCATTAACACCCCAATAATTTTTGATTGTAGTTTATTATGGCAACAATCGCGTATGAGCGAACGTTCATATATAGAAAGCATTGGTTATACAATACGTATATTTCCTAATTTAGGCATTCAATTCAAACAACACATTGCGTTCTTTCAAGAGCGCGCAGAGCTGATCCATACTTAAGTGATCAAATAATTTTTTATAGGCATTAATGAATCCTTTTCAGATTTTTGCTTACCGGAGCATATTGAACAAACCTCCGGATTATAAGAATTCAGCCACTAATTTAAAGTGGCAACTGTATTTTCAATCCTTTTTTTTTCGCATCCGTGAATGAATATTATCATGGATAATCAAGGACGAAGCAACGATTCAGGTGAGAAATAAAATATTCTTATTATTAATAATTTATACATTTAAGTTCCATTACATTGGTCATTTTTCATTAGATATCGGAGATCTCTATTCGAAATCGAATAGCGTTAGAGAAGATTATGAAAAAGCCAACAATCTAGAATCTTCAACAAGTAATGGTCATGCAAAAAAATGAAGATATAAAAATATTATAAAGATTTAAATACACTATATAAGAATATCACATGATTTTCTTAATACTCTTTCTTTCTCATAAAATGTTTTTTGCAGGCAAATCTTTTGAAGTTGACGCAGAAATAGACCAAGAATCGGTCAATTCACGTTATGATTTATGTGAATCGATTCCAGGCCTTTACCGTTTATTAGACTTATGCAAAGATATAGGGTCAAATGGTCTTGGTACCTATAAAAGATTGATTTTATACATTTGTGTGCACAAAATAATCTAATTATTAATATTGAATTTATAAATTTTTATAGTTGACAAGATATTAATTTCACAGCAACATTTGAAAAAACTTTGTAATGAAATGATACCAAACAGCTTTAAATCGATTTCGAAAATTCAATTTGAACAATTGAATTCCTGTCGCGTTCGTCTTATTGGATGTTATGGTAGAAATGGCCTTATTGCAAAATTACTATTTAATAAAAATGTTATTGATCAAGTTACGTGCGTATTACAGCCAATAAATACTTAAGTATGCATTATATTATGATTTCTATGAATCATCATTCACTTTATTTTATTTAAATTTAGTTATGAGCAACTTTTGATGCCTTATGAAATAAATGCAATAAATCCTTTACCAACTTTAAGGCCTGGCATTTATCTTCAGAAACTGCCTTCTGTCTCTGAAGGCATTAATTCGAACACGAACCAATTTTTGGTCATACACTGGAGTGAAAATGGTTGTTATGAGGATTCTGCATCTTCTTATCGGAAAAAGAATATGACTAATTTACATAGGTAACTTTATCTTTCGTTCGGATTATAGTGCTTTTCAAATTACTATGATCGTCTGATGACAGAAATCCGAAAATTTTGGCACATTTTATGAATAAATCCAATTAACTTGTCTAAAAATAAAATTCCTTATTATATTTCGATTCTGCAGTATTGCCTCTAGTAGTACATTAGAATTGGTAGTTGGTTTTCAAAATAATATCAATTTTCCTATTAACAAAAAAAAAAAAAGAAAACTGGAAATTTTGATATCATTTCGTTTAACTACCAGATATAATGTACTACTAGAGATAATACTGATGAACTGAAATATAACGAGGAATCTTGAGAACTTTATTTCTAGGCACGTTTATAAATATTTATTCAGATCTCTTTATGATGGACAATAATCAGACGATCACAGTAATTTGAAAAGCATGATAATATTAGTAATAATTTATTAATTTTTACATTTACAGATATCTTACAAAAATTACAACACATCAATTATGCCTTATGGATGGTAAATTCGTAATTCCTTTTTTAAATAGGGATGTTTTCGGCTCAGCTTGGCTTGCCTATATGGGATGTCGTCAACCAAAACGTTTCATAGTGAGATTAAAAAAATTGCTACATATAACATGTTATTTGTAACAGCTTAGTTAATAAGACATTAACATAGATATTTACAGTAATCAACAACACTTCATGTTACAATTAATTTTTTATTAACAATTTTTAATCTCACTATGATACGTTTTGATCGATGATGGCCCATATAATTATAAAAACTTATTAATGAGTGAAGCTAAATTGCCGATAGCGTCCTTATCTCTAATATCAAGCATAATATTGTTATTTAATTAGTTAACTATTATTTTGGTAACAGATAGTGATGTAGAAAATTTTGATTGGAGTTTGTTGAATGAAAATTTTGACGACGAAGATGGAGGGAAAAAAAAAAATAGAGCAGTTATTCATAATTTTGAAGTCAGAAAAAGCCAAGAACAAAAAGAAGATTTTGAACTCTTTGAAGGATTTAATGTAAGTTATAGTTAAAATTCTCTCATTATTAATAATTAAATTAATTATTGTTTTCAACAATACAAGCTACCTCTGTCAATGTCAAATATACAAAACTCTTATGCTCCCAAATATCTTGATGGTCCACCTTTACATCCATTAATTGTTGAATCTGCATCAAATCAGATATTACTTACTCAAAAGATGAAATCTGTTACAACAGCTGCTGATAAATATAGTAGAAGGGCTTTTGACTCCTTGACCAGTTTTCAAGAATATTTCAAACAAAAGCTTAAAATTCGAAAATGTGCTCTTTCAATTGACCGTGATAAAATGACAATTCAAAAATTGCAAGTACTTGTTGAAGATGGTATAAATAATCCTAATATTTTTTCGAAATATTATGAAGAATTAAAAGTACTGGAAAATAATAAGGTTAAAATAGTCGGTAAAGTTTTAGAGAATACTCTGAAACATATTGAAAAAATTGCATATCAGATGTTAAATCAGTCATATAAGTATGTACAAATTTTAATAATTCAAACAGTCAGACCCTCCAAATATACTTGTTAGGGCCAAACTTTTAATAACATGCATTTAGGGAACAATAAAAAAAATTGCGTTTATGAGGTTGAAATATATTTGGGCTAAAACTTAAGGTTGCGTTTAGGGGTTACATTTAGAGAGTTCTGACTGTACATGATTAAAAAATAATTATCAAATATTTACTATGTTGTAATTTGTAATTTTAGTCATTTTGAAAGTTTAATAAGTGACCATAAAAATGATGGAATACAACTAGGAGAAGAAAATGAGAGCTTAACAAGTGATCATAAATTAAATGATAAAATACAACTACGAGAAGATAGTGAGTATTTAAATTATTATATTCTGGAGAGACATTAAAGATGCTAAAAAAAAGATTCTTTCATTTAGAATTTAATAGCATTGATGAAATACCTTCTGGTGTAATTCTAACTCTTGAAAATGAAATTTTCAATATTTCTACTAATAATTGGAAATACCTAAAAACTCGACTTATTTTTGCAAATCATTGTGACTATATAAAAGCATCAACAGTGTTCTTTGATGAAGAGCGGGATTTTTCTAAATTGGTCAAAAAGCATGAAAAGAAATGTATTTTGTTTTGTATTTCTAAAGGGTTATATCCCAAAGGACTTACAAATAAAATAGTTAGTAAAATAAATGATGAGGTTAAAAAAATTTCTGATAATGAATTTGTGAAACAAATTTCAGTCATAAATGACGAAGCGGTTACAAAAAAATTTTTAAATGCATATATAGAATGGAAAGAGCAATATTTTGTTCAAAATGTAAACCGAATTATTCAAGATTTCAGAGAAGAAGTTGAAAAAAACGTGAAAGTAAAAATTGATAAACGTTATGAGGGACTAATAAAAGAAATCGAAGAGAATTATTTTCAATGTATCTGTGGAAAAATTGAAGCAATGCATCTAACAAATGATCAAATGGAAGACCGTTTAATAATTTTAAATCTAGAAATAGGTATAATTTTATGCAATTATATAAATGTTATGAGAACTAAATCGATAATCTTATAATTTTTAAAATTTTATATATTAGACGAGCATAAGAAAAAATACTACCTAGACTGTGAAGTTTCCGAAAAGCTATGCTTTACTATCTATAATGTTAATCTTGACCAGTCTGAAATTGAAGAGATGGATAAGAATGAATCTTTTATTCCAAAACCAATAATATCCGAGAATCGCACCTCTTTTAATATTGATCCAGAGATTTATGAGTTCAAGTAATAATTGTGGTATTTCTCAATACATTGGTTTTAATCATAACAACTCATTATTTTTGTAAAATTTATAGAACAATTGCGCAATTAGGCAAAAAATATCTACTGTTTCTTTGGAATATAATAAATAACAAGCTAGAGATTTATCTTGGTGGTATTAATTTTCTACAAGATTTACAAACTGCACAAAAGAAATTACAAATTGGAAGAAATTTCATGATTGCGATTAATGAACCAAAAC